TATGTAATACTGTTGCTCCGTACTCATTGTGTCCCGAATAACAAACAGGAATTTTTGCCTGTTATCAGACTAAAAATAAAAGTTACAAAAGACTTTTGTGAACCACCGACCAAAGTGTAAACATATTAGAATTTATTTTCAAGGATCAATTTCGGAGTGCAAAGAATGCAGACTTGCAGACTGGCAGGTAAAATTTGTTCTAAAATGCTTTTATTAATTATTTAAGTACCAGTTTGGCTACAGAAAAAGCAATTCTACTGAGCAAGCGATTATGGAGGTCACTGATAATCTGAAGGCCTCTATTGACAGTAACCTTATATCTTGTGGCCTCTTCTTAGATATCTCAAAAGCAAAAGTAAATCATTAAATATTGTTAGATAAACTCTATAAATATGGTGTCCGTGGCAGGCCACATGATTGGTTTGCAAATTATCTGCTAGATCGCAAGCAATTTGCCAATTCATCCAACCAAGACATATACCGTAAGCGATCTACTTGGCTCAGAAATCGCTCTTGAAAGTGTTTAATTTGCTGCTCGCACGATCTTCTGCCATTAACGCTTCGATCTCGTTAATCACGTGACGTTACGTCACACTTGTGGAACAAATAAATGATCTCTTATATGGCCTACTCTAGTTCTTTAAGTGATAGCTCTACCCTTTTCGTCCGATTATTCAGATATAGAAAAACGTTTAGAAGGCGAAGCACCCAAAAGTATAGGCTAGCCCTTCACAGGAATTTAACCCTGGCGTTTTGAGCCGCCTGGAACTAGACCTCACGAGGCTGAGAAAGTCCGTGAGTCGCCTGAAAGTCTGCAGTGTGCGTTTTTTCATACACCGTTTATATACTCTCCATAAAGGTCTCTACGCTATGGCGTATTCAGATCTTCACTGAAGTGAGGCGCCTGTTCATCCAGTCCAAGATAGGAGAGTGCCTGGCTTCCCAAATAATTTGTCTCAGCCCTGCAAACTTCAGATTAAATCAGATTAAATTACGGGCCCGGCTCCCCCAGGGCTCCCCCCATAGTTCTGCCACTGCCAAGATACAGTGACAGTTTTAAAAGAAAGTATGAAGCTAAACAAAATTAGGAGGTAGCAGAGCAGCAAGCCTCTGAAGAGTTAAATTTTAGAGAGATTCAGTCCATTATCTTAGCCTCCTATTATTAACCTACCCCACCCCTATAAAAATAATAGCGACTGTTTGAATGGAGGTGTGGGTATGCACAGTTAATAGTTTCCTGGTGAGCATTTCTTTATTAACGCTTTTACTCCCAGAGTGAATGATGGAGTCTTGTAAGGTGGTTGTAACTTTTCAGTTTTTGAACAAGATCCTATGGTGTTACCTTTCATATGAATTCTCTTCAGCAGCACTTTCACATGGACGATAGTACCCATTTGTTTTTCAGCGTTTTTCAAAATAAAATTAGGAAATTTTTTTCAAGTTTTGAGTTTGGCCACTTCTGGGAGTGAAAGGATTAATGAAATAATACAAATTTAATGATTACCATTATTATTAAATACTAACTTGCACGGAGCAGCCAAGCATCAGCCACAGAACTTTAATAATTTCTTCAGCTGCTTCAGCTGCAACATTAAAATGGGGTGATTAGTACCGTAAACATGAGGAAGAACATGCAATGTACATATACAGACGTTTATTACTACAGTGTTAGAAAAAAGTACATAACCATACACCATATCAGTTGGACACCCATCCAGTTAACAGGCCATTTTACAATTGAATACTCAGTACTAATAGTAATAGAAGCGAGGCTGGAGTTGACCTAATGTTCTGTTAAAAACCTTCCTGCTTTTCATGCGCAAATAATGCAATTCTCATGCTGACAAGCCTGTCAAAATGATCAGTTAAACGTAAAAAACAAGGATGGTAACAAAACAAGGTTAACTCTAGCCTCTCTTCTATTCAAAGGCCAGGGTACTGAGCACAAAACTGTAAAACAGCCTATTAAGCAGAAATAAGACTGAGGAGGTCCTAAGTGTTTCTGTAAAACAAACTTCAGTAAGATGATACTGACCAGGGTCCCTTCTATAATACAATGTAGGTGTATGGTTAATATATGTTTCATTGTATGATTATATTGGACTACTGGTATGTTAAAATTGATATAGTAATTACACCTACAAATAAACCCAGTTGCCTCAGTAATGGTAGACCCGATGGAAATTCCAAAACACCCTGCGGATTATTATTAAAATGTACAAGATCATGCAGGTTGTGAACAAAATCTTGTCTCTTCAAGTCAGGTGCATGTATAGTACATATATACGACTGATTTGTAACAATATTTAATTGGAAGCATCGGACCTGTTTCCTTTATACATCTCTATTAATTTGAATTGGAGTGCTAAAAAATGCACACTAATGCAGGGCTTAAAAAACTTTAAACTCGATCCAGATTGTCCTTTGGGCAAGCAGCCTTCAAGGTTTGGTTTGGTTCCAGGGCAGTTGCATGGCTGTCTTTGTTTAGTTTTAGCCAAGACAACTTAACTGGGCCCTTTCCAATCAAGACAGGCAACTGAGCATCAAAATAGTTACTTGCCCAGAAGGAAAAACTTATCCATTTGTTCTGCATTACTAGATGAAACTTTTTTCTAGCCCCCTGCTGTTCAAAAAGAGCAGGGAACAATAGATACCAGAGGTGTGGTCCATCTTTCATGAGTTGTATGGGGCCACATGGACCGCTTGTGGGTAGACATGGAGAACTAGGACTGTTTGAAAGAAGCATTAATAAACTTTTCTTGAAACTAACCACTTTCCGGTTTCCTTGCTATTTTTATTAGGTCCGGAGACCTAATAACTACAAGCTGTTGTAGTTTATCCTAAAAGTAAAACAGACGTGGAATTTTTAGAGAACATCAACCATCAATTTAAAAAAAGCACCCCTGAATACACACCTGCAATTACTACACTTAAGAGCTAAAAAAGAAGATTCATAATAATCTTAAGTGCCATCCTTAAGTAAGTGCTACACAGTGATGTCACAAATTTAATACCTGCCATACAAGTAAAAACGGTAGTAGATTTTATGAATAACGTCCAATTGTATAGTGTTTACTTACAAAATATATCTTTCATTAAAACTATACTCAGATTCACACTGGCCTGCAATGAGGCAGTTCCTCATCATCTTCCTCCTCTTCTCACCTGGGACAGGGAAGGAGGGGGAACGGTACTTAAAAAAATGTCTGCATTTGGTCTCAAAAATTCTATACTGGTGACGTGAATGTTAGGAGCTCTGATTATTAAATGCGGTATTTGATACTCTTGGGAAAGTGTTGGTTCCTTTTGACTGAATGATGACTACAAAAATGGCAGTTTTTCTTCATACATCGGACCATCCCTAGGTAAATGAAATATACTACAATGCATCAATCAGATTTTGTTCCCCTTATTAAATCTACATATATGTAACATATGTTTATATGAGGATATATGTACATATTAATAACTTCAAAGGAGTTCAGGCTTCCTCTACATATATGTGACATGTATGTAAATCCACTAGGTTCAATGAAAACATATGTATGTAACATATATGTGACTTTTAACATATACGTGACATGTTTGAAATCCACAAGGTTGAATGAGAACATATATAACATATATGTTACTTTTAACGTATGTGTAACGTGTGTATCATAGCACTATCAAATATGCCACATTCCAGAAGTACAATGTTTTATCAATTGAAGATTTGACTAGACATTTTGTTACGATATAGTTTCGTACTACACCATGGTGTAGCACTCAGATAAAAAAAGCCTAAAGGTAGATTACAACAGTATGGTGATTGTAACTGAAATTTAAAATATGGTTTCTACGGATACAACGCTGTCTCTACACCTTCTATTGTGTAACAGAAGAGGACTTGAAATAGTTTTAAAAGAAATTTGCCATCGTGTCTACACGAAGATACAAGCTCGTCAGGAGCGGATCTAGGGAGAGGGTGCAGCGGGTGCGCACCCCCCTCCCCTGAGATGACCTGCGGTTTTCTAATACAACTGGTATTCTGCAAAAAAAAACTATGTGGTTTATTGGTGTTGAAGTAGAGCAAGAGACGAGTGCACCCCCTCCTAAAAAAAATCCTGGATCCGCCCCTGCTCGTTGCGCTTGTTAAAGTGGCTACAGATTATAAAATATTTCTCTCACAGCGTTAAATTACACCGTTTGGAAGAGAGGTTGTAGGCGATAGCCTACTTCAAAATCTTTGAGGTAATCNCTGAGATGACCTGCGGTTTTCTAATACAACTGGTATTCTGCAAAAAAAAACTATGTGGTTTATTGGTGTTGAAGTAGAGCAAGAGACGAGTGCACCCCCTCCTAAAAAAAATCCTGGATCCGCCCCTGCTCGTTGCGCTTGTTAAAGTGGCTACAGATTATAAAATATTTCTCTCACAGCGTTAAATTACACCGTTTGGAAGAGAGGTTGTAGGCGATAGCCTACTTCAAAATCTTTGAGGTAATCCGGAAGTTATGTTACTGTCTTTGAGGCTCATACCAGTTTACTTAGCTCTGTGCTCATTCTTTTCCTAAGATGATGATTTTTGTTCGCGAAGCGACTCTTAAATTAAAGTGTTTTTTTTTATCTATCATATCGATTGTTATTGGTACTCGTTTAATAATGAGCTAGGAGTATCGATTTTCATCGATTTCAAATATGCCTCATCTGTCCTTTCGAGTTAATAACTTAGAATGCCTCTCCTCTGTTGCCGATTTTTTCTGAGGACGAAAGATCACCCGTCCTCACTGAAAGTGGGCACAAGTGGTAACCCTTCACTACAGCCAAGAGCCTCCGTCTATCAACAAAACCTTATTTTTCGGCATTTTACGACTCTCAAGACTACAGCAAGACTGACTTGACTCTATGCGAACAAATGAGTAACGTATCTGTTGTTGCAGGTAATCTCTGATTTCAGTTAATTTTTGTTTTTCCTATTCACTAACATACATTACCATACCCAAAAACATGAGATTTATTTCTGAAAGAAATAAATGGTTTGATGCAAAGAAATAAATGGTTTGATGCTGAATGTGACTGATCAATATTGTATTTCTCCAGCTACCAGCAAAGAAGGGTTTTCCTGTCATCCGGGTGATTTGTCACGAAAGTGTCATTTATGTCTTGTTGTCCATCCCGAAATCATTGAATTATAAAGCTAATAAAAATCGATACAATCAAGAGGACCTGCAGTATCGATTTTTATCAATAAGTGAAACCAATCGGTATTAATCGATTGATTTTGATCGATCATATTGATTGGTTTGCAATCATCGATTCTCACCGATTGGGCAAGCGGCCGGTGTATGACAATCTTTCGCCAAAATCTCTTTCGCCTAATTTTTGAGGGGCTCCCAGAGAACATAAAAAGCTGTTTCTTCGTTCCTGTCTTTTTTATCCGGTAGCGTATAATAAACCATTTAATTCCTAGGTTTTTAGTTGTGTACTTACCCAGTAATATCCTTTAATTTTATGTATAACTTTCTCCAAATTATTTCATCTAAAATTGTAGTCTGTGATGTTTCTGTAGATGTAGATGTCCTTGAAATAATTGGCATCGCTGCGAGCATGAATTACAACAAAAAGAGAAAATAAACACTCAATAATGAAAAAAAATAACCGAGTTAATTGGCCACTACTTTGGGAGAGTCACTGCTCTTGTGGGATTGCTACTTTCGGGAAGCTAATACGTGTACTGCACGAAGTTAATAAAATCGCGACAAATGTGAAAACATACACACTTTTTATTAGGGGAGACTTATTACGTTATTGTTTTGAATAACAATTCGAAAGAATCAGTCTTTAAATAATCTACATTATAAGCAATAGTCAGTTTTCATTTGTCCGAATGCAAATGTGGCAGACCTCTCGGCCGGCCCGGCTCTAGTTGTGCGAAAAGCGAGGCTAGTGAGGCCCTAAGAGTTTTGTTTTGACAAGGGCGAATAAAGGTTAAGCGGTATGCGGAGTAAATGTTAAAAATGATCTCCTCTGGCTCTAAATTGAAATAATAGAAATAGAATTATACTGTAACTGTGTAGATTAAAGGACGGAAGAAACGTTCCATGAAAGAGCCTAGCAAGCTCGACTTTATGATGATGATGATGATGATGATGATGATGATGATGATGATGATGATGATGATGATGAAAATTATGATGAGTCTGATGAGAGTGAAGCAACATATACAAGACGACTGAGAGACCAATAATCATAATACATCTATGTAATTTTTTAGTCCCAAACTTCTGTTTATTTGTGCTTGTGTTTTTTTTTTTTTATCAGCTAGAAATACTTTGTATTTGGCTGAACTAAGAATTATGGAATCTGGGCCAAAGGATTTTAGGAGTAAATACAGTCATGCATGTTTTCATTGGAAGAGTTCTGTAACAGGTCAATTGTATAATTTAACCTGAATAAACCCTGTATCCCAGTTGCTATCTTTTTAGACTTTTTGCTTAACAGTTGGTTGTCAATCACCACTGAATAATAAAGAGCTTTTTAAGGCTCAACCAAAATATGCTAATTTGTTTACAACGATCAACTTCCTGCTAAGAGGTATGCACATGTACAAAAAGATAACTCAGACATGTACTTTTTTCAGGGGCACCCAACGAGGATATAGTTCAATACCCCTTAACATAGCATTGTTGAACGTATTTTAGTATTCAAACGGTAGATATAGGCATATTTTTATCCCCTAAAAACTTTTCATCTGTTCAGATTACCTAGCTGTAAGTCTAGTGATCCGAAAATTATAGGGATAAAAACTTGCCTTCTCGAAAATTTCAGCCAGGAAAAGGCTCCCGAAAATTCTAGGTGGCCTTTTTTAGGGTCAAAATCCGTTAAAAATGGGTAATCATACCATTTCGTAGATGTTCGAAAATCCTAGGAGTGGCAGGCAAGCAAGAAATTTTGCAACAAATGCTCCGAAAATTCTAGATTTCAAATCGTCTTCCGAACAGATATTTTCCCGAAAATTGCCGTTGGGTGCCCCTGTTTTTTTAAAAGTGTAACTTTAGAGTAGACTTGTCAGTACAGTCCAAACATCCTTATTATTAGAAGGACAACTAATGCTTGTCCCATTCATGCCATTTTTTAGTCATTTTGTTGAAACTTGACTCCCTACAAGACACACACCTCTCTGTGACGGAGACAGTTTGACCGTCCGTCTTAGAGAGAGACAATATTTGCACAGACCCCTATAATCATCAAGGTGTATGTGCTGATATTTTTGAAATGCGAACAAACTTTGGTTCTCTATATAATATACTTACTCCTAAGTAGTGGTCTTTGTCTTCTGTAATGGTCTTTAACCAAAAAACCATTTTGTTTTTAAAGTCCACCAGTTCTCTGAAAAGAAGAAAACACATGTACATTAAATCTAACTTGTCTGTAGTTCAACTTATCGAAAACGGATGAGAAAATCGTGAGTTAACATATTGTTTCCATCGCGTGCGATCAAATGTAAGAAGGCAACATGAACAACTTCAACTCAACTTCAACTTTATTCATTCAATTTCAATTTACAATTTCACGATAGCTTCCACCCGCGTATAGGAGAGCCTAATCGAGGCGGGGGAAGAGACACAAATTTCAAGAAAGGAAAGAAAAAAAGAAATATTTTACAAAAAGTACCAGCTGTCGCAAAAAAAGTAAAAACTATAGTATGTATTAAGCTAATTTAAATACAATATGATTTACACAGAGAATATAAGTTTAGTCGTGTTCCTGAGCTAGTTAAATTTAAGTTGATGCATGATTTCGACATTATCAAGCAAGTCGTAAGATCCTGTCACTAAAGACGAAGTAGCTTGC